ATTCATCGGCTAAGATTATGGTTTGGTGGTCGTTTTCCGCCTTAAATAAACTAACGAAAGTGTTATGTTCATGAAGAAGTTCCCTGGCGGCAACAATGATCCGGATCTATAGTGAATTTGCCCTAGAAACTGTATCTTATAGTTAGTGGCTATTTCAAAATGGATGCGTATACTCTGCCATGAACATTTTCAGTAAATTCAATTTTTCTCCATGAATATGTGATTGATTTCATACATTTTCGTAATTGCTTTCTTGATATGCTGCCGATGCTCAATCCAAAATCGACTGAAATTCCGCAGAGATTGCGCAGTCATACACATACATAGATATGTATGTATGTACAGCAGCAACATCTTTTGACGTAAATGGCATGTTTACATTTAAAATCAATACAAATGGCGCTTTATAAAATCGAATTTTTATATTCACTTTACAGATAAAAGCAGACACTGGACTAAAGAAAATTATTGCGTTAATTACATATGTATGTAAATAAAAAATAAAACACAAATAAATTAAAATACATTTAATTTTGATTATTTTTTGCAGTTTCTTTTCTGTTATACGTGTGTATATATAATCATATTATTTAATATAAGTATATTGAATATAGCATACGCTTACATATACATATCTACACAATCACGTATATTCTATGTTTTCATTTTATGTTAATAACGTAAAAAGAACTAAAATAGTGTAAATTAAAAAAATGTATATATATTTATATATATGTGTGTGTGTGTGTGTGTTTTCGTTTTTCGCTACTCCTTTCTCTATTAACGTTTACTGTTTATGTATATGTGTATCGAATTGCATATGATTATAAGAAATTCATTGTTTTAACAGAAACAAAATGTGAAACTATGTAGTATTTAACTTGAAATTATAATTTATAACAAACTAATTCGTAGCGAAACTGCTGGGCTTTAAACTGCAAACGAACAAATCGGTATGCTTATAAAGAATAAAGGCATTTCTTGATGTGGTAAATATTTGTGTTCACATAAAAACAAATTGCCATCGCCTTTGCCGACATGAGGACGCAACTGTTTAATTTGATTAGCGTCCTCCTTCGCTCTGCTGCTGCTGCCATTACCATGCGTGCTGCAGCTCAAACATGTCGAACTCAAGTGATGAGTAATGTCACATAGCTTATCATGCGGTGATTTTTCAAATCAGCGCCAAGAAGCTTTTCCTACAGCTGACATGCAACAAAAGCTCAAGTACACTTAAAGTATTGCAGTAGTGGCTTGATCGTTCTTCCATTTTCTTTGCAATATGTTTGAAGTTCTTTTTTATTTAAATGGACTTGTATTCTAATTTTTTTAGTTCTATTTTTTTATTTATCATTAAATATTTAGTTATAATTACTAGTTATAATATTACTATAATTATTCATTACTTTTTGTGTAGATTTTTTTCCTTTTGTATTATTTTTTTTTCATCATTTATTTAATATTTTATCCTTTCTATCTTGTTTGCATCCTCTATTGTTGTTGCCGTTACTTCAAAGTATTTTAATCTTTTATTTATTCTAAGCTGTTTCAACTGTTAACCGCACGCTTGGTTCTCCCATACACAGCTGCTGCTGATGCTGCTGCAACTCGCCGCTTCTTTCTGCCTGTCGTCTACACTAGCGATCTGTTTTTTTTTTATTATTGTATTTTCATTATTGCTAGTAGTTGTAAATATTAGTGTAGAGTTGCCAATTGCTATGGATTCTTGTTTTTATTTATTGTGTGTTGCATGGGAGTTTATGGGCATATGGATAATAATTTCTCCATATAAATGTGGTTATGTAGATTTTTTTAGCAATAATTCCTCTTTTTTTTAATACAAATTTGATATTGGCTAAAGGTCATCAGACATAAATGAGTTTTGCGATTTTGATTCTTCTATTCGACGAATCTGCTGGCGAAGATACATAATCCTGCAATGGAAGAGAAAAAACAATAATAATGAAAGTTGAGGCATGTGAAAGAAAGTAGAAAACACAAAGGAAAATGCGAGAAATTTCAAGACTTGACGTGTCTGAAAGGCAGCAATTCGAAAAGGGTTTAAAAATTTACAGGAACTTTATTTACAACATTTTTTTTTTACCAGCACAGAGTAGACCTGTAAATAAAATTCAACAAAACTTCAGAAATAGGCTAAGAGCGGATCGCAAGGCCGCTTCCGGACGACTCTAAAAGAACAAGTTGTAACAGATTAGTATATAGGACCGATTCCAAACAGCTGAAAGCATCAGAAGTTGTTTCGGCGATCTAACCCCGTTTAGGTCGGCGAAATTTGTCAGACCTTGTTCGTCCATAGTGCTACATCTGCTACTTCTTCTTCTCAGGGCTGACATCGAGTCAAACCCTGGGCCAGAAACTTACACCTGCTATGTATGCCAGAGACGACTACACCACAACTACACCTCAATCAAGTGCAATGCTTGCAATGGGTGGAGTCACCTTACGAGTCTGCGCAGGCCTACGGACAAACCGTCAGTGGACCAACACGGCAAATCTCGTCCGACAACAATCAATTGCAACACCTGCCTTGGCTTGTGCCACTTTAGGGCATGCAAGTTCGCAATCCCTAGCTGCGACGCCATCATACATCCTCCACCCCCCGCATAACAACACGTCTCCCGAACCACACGAAGCTCATTCAATTTAACTGTAACGGACTTCAGAGCAAGATCGAGGATATAACCGTTTTCATTGGAAGGCATGGAATATTGATAGCTGCGGTCCAAGAGACGAAGTTGCACAGCAATTCAACATTGTTGACTTGCGTCGGATACAATGTGCACCGTCGAAATCGCGAACGAGATAACGGTGGTGGCCTAGCGTTCATCACGCACCACACCGTGCAGCATGGTCTCATCGAAGTAAACATCGACCTCAGGTATACCATCCTAGAATGTCAGGGCATTGCTATCCGGTCGGGCGACGTCGAGCTCGAAATATTTAACGTCTATATACCCCCTGTCACCAGCTGCCTGGCAGGATATCACCCTAAAATAGGTGCACCCCTCAGAGGTGAAAACCGTATGGTAGTTGGCGACTTTAATGTGCACCACGATCTTTGGCATTCAAGCCTGTCAAACGATCGTAGGGGAACTGACTTGGCTGAGCAGATAGACGATTCGACATTCTGCACAATGAACGACGACGCACCCACCAGGATTAGGGGCAGCTGCTGCAGCTCGCCAGACATAACAATAGTCAGCGCTGGTCTGATAAACAGCATATCAGGGCGAGCTATGCTGACGCTTCGTACCGGCAGGATGCATTACGGACCCACGTCCAAATTTCCCTGCCAAAGCGGCTGTTCTAGCCGATGAGCGTGACAAGCTCCGTCAGGCCGATCCCGGAAATCCCCGCATCAGCCGTATCAGAGATCTCAATACGGAGATTCGGCAGCTTGTGAACGTACATAAGCGAAAAAAGTGGGAAGATCATCTGAAGACTTTCAACTTCACTTCTGGTTTAAGCTTTGGTCAACCGTGATGTCACTGTCCAATCCGACGAAGCGCGACGACAGTCTCGAAATATCTTTCGCCGACCGCGCTTCGTCGGACCCGGAGCGATGCGCGAGCTACTTTAGCCGGCAGTTTATACTCCGGTGGACAAAGCCAAGCGTTGAGGGACCAGAAGGCTGCACAAACTGCCAACAACAAGTGCGCCGCTTGTTTTCACCAGCGGTGAAGATCAGGTAGCTATCGGGAAGGCGAAAGCCCCCAAAGCTATGGGACCCGACGGAATATGCATGTTGATGCTGAAAAATGTGGGTCCTGCGGAAGTAGACTATTTAGCCAAGGTTCTCAACCTGTCAATGGCCACTCTGATGGGGAGAGTGGTCCCACTGCTTAAACTAGGGAAACCAGTCAACAAAGGCGAGTCTCATCATCCGATAACAGTCTTTCCCCCGGTAGCGAAGACCCTAGAGGCCTCCCACAGAGACTCAAACGGAGGTCAGCGAATTGTCTGACTGGTCGACACTCGTCAGTATTGTTTAGAGATAAATCGAGCAAACCTAGAAGAATAAAAATATGGGTTCCACAGGGTGGTATCCTTTCCCTATTACTGTTTAACTTTTATATTTCCAAGCTCCTTTAACCACCAGAAGGAGTCTCGATTGTCTCTTACGCTGACGATTCTTCGATATTGACGTCTGGGAATGGAATTGATGACTTGTGCGCGAAAGTAAACGGGTATCTCTCCGCTCTTTCCCGCTTCTTCACTACTAGGAGCCTAACCTTCCCCCAAAATCCTCTGCGACCTTATTTACCACCTGGACGAAGGAGGTCATACTACCGCTAGGTATTCACGTCGATGACACTCCAATTCCGACGGTGAATAACCCTAAAATACTGGGAGTAACATTCGACAGTGTCTCCTTATCAGCGCACACAACCGCAATTGTCAACAAAGTACAGAGCCGCACCAAGGTCCTCAAGTCGCTAGCCGGCAGTACCTGGGGCAAAAACAAAGAAACGTTGCTGGCAACATACAAGGCAATAGGCCGGTCGGTTTTAAATTACGCAGCACCAGTGTGATCGGGGGGGACCAGTAGGATGCAGCGGATGAAGCTTAAGACTATACAAAACACGGCACTACGGACAGCGACCGGATGCCTTCTGATGTCGCCAGAACAACACCTTCCCGAAAATGCTCCCCATAGAGGAGCACAACACAATGCTCTGCAAGCAATTCCTAGTACGCAGCCACAGACGTGGACACCCGAACAGACACCTTCTTGCAGAGGAGCCCTCGCTAATGCATGTCAGAAGACATCTTTACGAACTGTTGGACGAATTTCAGAGGTTCATAAAGCAACCTCTGGATCCATAAGCTTATCGATAGGCCCTGAGCGGCATTCATAGGGAGTCAGTCTCAAGTTACGTGAACTCCGTTCCGTCAATGCCGTTCTGCGCACACAACCACCGGACATAGACTAGAAGGAGCTTCGTCTGGCTACTGCAGCAGGTTGAAATCATACTTGAGCAGATTAGATGCAGAAGTGCCAAACGAATGTCCGGCATGCGGAGAGACACCCCATGACTCGAAACGTCTCTTCGCATGCCCGGAAAACCCAAAGCAAGTAACACATCTGTCCCTGTGGACAGACCCTATAGAGGCTTCACGCTTATTGGGTCTTCCTTTAGCTGACCTTGACGACAGCGACTGAGATACTAACCGATCATGGCGGGGTTGTTGTAGCCGCTACAACAACAACAAAAGGAGTGAACAACAATCAATGGGGCTTAAAAGCTGCCGAGACAGTATTTAAATTAACCACAAAAAAACAATTCGTTTTAACAGTGAAGCAAACCTACGTCTTGTAGGCTCAGCTATTCAATATCAGTGATTTTGGTGCAAATTTTAAGTATGTAGTAGTAAATTGTTTGTTGGTGTTATTTAGCTATGGAACCTTCATCCTCAGGTATTCAACTATGTTTGAATAATGATTTTTTCTACATTATATAAAAAGTTTTAACTAGCAAAAACAAATTGAGTTATATAGCCAAAAAATATGAAATTTAATATAATTTAATATTAAATATTTTGGTTGCCAAGACGCGAATGCCCTGACTGTTTGTTTGATGACAGGAGATACTTCGGCTTGTCCTCGTTTACCACCATTCGCTTTGCTTCCTTATCAATCTTGGAAAAGGCAGAAAACCTTCGCGGTTTTTGTTACCGATGTTATCGGCATACGCCAGCAATTGCACGCTCTTGTAGTAAATTGTTCCTAAACGGTTCAGTTCTATTTCACATGAACAAATCGTCGCCTGGGTAAAAGATTATCGTAAGCGCCATTTTGACGATTTTTAGTTCTATGTAGATGCTGTTATGTATTTTGAAATAAGTTCTTTCGATTGGTGTTATCTGTTTTTAGGTATTTCCTTTAGTTTCCGAGATATTGACTACAATTTTTTCGATAATTTAGTAATTCGAAATAGTGCCAGCTGGGAGAAACTGTGAGGTAAAAATTTATTGTTCTTTTTATTGACACACTGCCTGTAAAATTAATTCAATTTTAAATTTTTTTTGTATGGGTGAAGGAGAGCAATGTTATGTGCAGTGGTTGAAAGATTAATAGGGAAACGACATTTTAACAAATTTTGCCTATTTTTCTTTTGTTTATTTAATATTTCTTTTTTTTTATAAAAATATGGCTCATTATCTAACAAAAACCGTATAAATTCATACTTCAAACTTTGTGCAAATATTATAAAAATTCTGCGAAATTCCACCAACATTTACGACTTTTTAATGAGATTTTACAGAATTCTTTTAAGTGCCCAGATTTATAGCCCATTAAATTTTAGTATAATAAAGCTCAAATTTTAAGTTTCTAAATTGCGTTGATTTTTGATAATTTTCTTTCTGAATGTACTTTTTGCCATACAAAAAAAAAAAGTGTGAAACATGCTTTGTATGGAAGAAAATTCTGATTGAAAAATAACTTTCCAAGTGGGTTTTTAATCTCCGAAAAACGATATCTCATTTTTTTCACCATTAGCTTCTTATTTCACACAAATTCGCCAACAAATGTGTCAAATGGCAATGCCCGACATCATATTCCGCACAAAATAATACTGTTCACGCAGAACAAACCCCGACTTCATAGAAAACAAAGTCATTGAAGATCTATACACCTAGAAAGCATTATATTTCCAGTATGTATAATCATTTAGATATCATGCAAGAGATATAGTATATACAGTTATCCCCAATATAATAGGAATGCGATATTTTGACCAGTTTTGGCTATTGGCCTTTTATTTACTTAATGTTTATTATTTTTTTTTTTATAAAAGTCTCGCTGGTTATACAACAAACACACCATATAAATTCAGATTTCAAACTTTGTACAAGAATTATGTATAAAAATTTCGCAAATTTGCACCTAAATTTCAAACTTTTTTATCAGGATCTTTAGAAACAATCTTGGTATGCAGTTGTGTAGCCAATTAATTCCAATGAAATCAAGTTCCAAGCTGCTAAAAAATTCCGTTGATTTTTGGTAATTTTTTTGATCCATATAAAAGAAATGGTCGAACATACTTTACATGGAAAAAACGTGACTTTAAAACCCTTAACGCAAAAAAAAATTCTCAAAAATCAACGGGATTATTGAGCAACTTGAAACTTGCACCTTAATATACTAGAATTAAATGGGCTAGAAAACTGCATACCACAGCTTTTTTTTAAGATTCTGATTAAAAAGTTTGAAATTTGGGTGAAAATATGCGAATTTTTATAATTTTTATACAAAGTTTGAAATCATAATTTATTTGGTGACTGTTGTATAACCAGCTAGACTTTTATAAAAAAAAAAAAAATAAACATTAAATAAAGAAAAGACAAATAGCCAAAACTGGTCAAAATACCACACTCCTATTATTTTGGGGACAACTGTATAATATTTCATCGAATATTTTTGGCCATATACGTTTTCCTGTACACGTGTTTTGCTCAAAATATTTGCAATAAAATGATTATCTTGAACTACAAAAAAACTTGAGAAAACTGAACATTTTTAAAGGAATAATGGTAGTATTTCCTCAACGTTTTTGGGCCTTGTGAGATTTTGGACACTCTTTCCAGTTTAAGAGAATTCCTTTATTTATTTCTTCAAAGTTTAAATATTTTTTCATACTCACTTTTGTTCTTGTAGTGTTGCTGTGATTTCAGTTATTCTAACTAAGCTTCTAGCACATTTTAACTCTGCCGATACTTTCGTACATTGTAAATCGCCATACAAATGCGTCTCTTCAGAACACTTTTGCGCCTATAAACAAACATCGAAAATTTTACATATATATGAAAATAAGATAAGCAGCGACTGATTTATAAACTTGCTGAACCCACTTGAATTACCTGTTTTTCCAGTATATCAGCTTGCCAATTGGTGACATGTGTAATTAAATCAGCCCTAAAATACTTTGCTAATTTCGGTGAAATTTCTGGACCCTGTGAACGGCCGGCCTGTACAGATGACGCCACACAACCTTGCAGCGTGCTCAACGACGCGGACGATGTGTTTTCCACTGTGGTCCACATAGAATGTATTGCCAAATTAGAATATGTTTTGATAATAACAATTTAAAAAGACATTGCACTTACACTTCCGCTGTTGTTGTTCCATAGCAGCAACATTTAGGTCCATTTCTTGCGTTGGCGTCGGTGGTCCCTCACCAGGCAGAATACCAATAACTCCACTACCGCCAGCATTTATGCTGACATTCGCTAAACTAGATGAGGAACAGAGGCCACTGTTGTTGCTGCTGCCAATCGAATTCATGCCACTGCTGCCCTCGACAGTCTTTAAACCGTATGGTGCGTTACAAGCAGCATATGCGCCAGCATTTACGCCGCCGCAACTGCCCACATTGTTATTGTGCCCAGATACAGGAACAACACCACCGCTACCACCAACACTTGTTATAGGACTTTTTGTGTAGCCCATCGGCGACATGCCGTGTGAATGGGCTAGATTGTAGTGTGGCGAGTTCACTGAATTATCCCTGCGTGTTAAGCAAACATTTTCGTTAAGGTTCTTTAATTTTATTTTTTTTATTATTATTTATTATTCACCTTAGAACTATCACCGCTGATGAGGTCGCATTCATCGCGTGGTTGTTGCCATCAATGGAAGTACCGGCATTGGCCATCATATGCAACGCCTCGTTGCCACCCATACCATGTTGTGCCATTTGATGGTGGTGATGCAACGCCGCCTGTTGATGCTGCTGTCGCATCAACAACGCTGCCTTCTGCTGCGAATTCAACATCATTTCTTGTTGCTCTTTTGAACCCATTTTCGGCGGACCGGGTGCATTCGAGTTCAAGTGATGATCCACCTGAATAATGTAATTTTTTCCAATAAACATCATACATTTTTAAATTAATAATTTTAATTAATTTAAATTCAATTGTAACTCACGTTGGGCGATGATGCCGATACTAGATGCGCTTGCTGTTGCATCATTGCCACTGGATCCATTTTTCGATGATTACTATTATTTTGTGTTTGCATAACACCAGCAACCATCACTGGTAGGCCCGCATTAGAGGGCACGGAGGCGAGTCCGGTGGCGGGCAGCATTGTTGCCCCGCCCACCACAACGCCCGAGCCATGCCCTGACGCGGATGATGCGGAGAAATGCATTGATGCAGCAGCTGCATTGGCCGCTGCAGCAGAAGCGGATGCGGAGGAGGAGGATGGCATAACAGTACTGGCGTTGGGATGCGATGCTAGACGTGGTAATGCATTCGGCAGGCCAACAGTGGATGTTGGAATTGATGATAGGTCATTGTGCTGTGCATTAACCAGACCATGAACAGAAGGCGCACCGGTAATCGGGTAGCTAGCCTCCGATGTTGGCGTCGAGTCGCCTGGACTAATGTCCATGTCAGGGTTTTCGCCTATGCGACCTTTAAGAGAATACGATATGTATATAAAAAGGATAATAATAAAAGTAATCTCAATAAATTTACCATCCAAACGTCTTCGGTGACTTGGAGGTCCAGCATCATTTTCATAATTCCACCTCAGTCGTGAATTTCCCCGAGAACTGGAATGTTTCGCGTAAGCTAAATGGTTGACCGTTGTAATAAAAAAATATGTAAGTGTTTTTATGATATTTTACTGTATATTTTTAATATTTATACGTTAGATTTTAAATGCAGACGCATAAATTTTAAATTTAGACGTTTATTTAATTTTATTAAAAATTTTTTTATTTATAACGTATATACTGAGAATATATTTTATAAGAAATAGAAATAATTTGAGTTAACTTTTGATTTTTGCTTTTTAGGCAAGAAATACAGACCATTTTAAACTTTTTAATTTATGGTTCAAAAATGAAATGCTGAATTTGCCTAATATTTTTTAAGTAGAAAACAACCGGTAATTTTGTAGGCATTTGAGCATGTCATCAATCGGTGTGCAGTGATAAACCTACATAGAGACTACCGTAATGAGACAATCCAGATCCTTAGCGGCAGCCAGGCAGCACTTAAGGTGCTATTATCCTTCCGAGATCAAATCATCCTTAGTCTTTGAGTGCGTTGAGAGACTCACCGCCCTTGCTGAATATATTGAAAGGTTCAATAAGTAGGAGCGAACAACACTAGCATAGTACAATAGGACTACGCATACTGCTGGGTATAACCTAAAAAGACACAAACAACTAATTGACCTCCCCAAGCATAAACTTGAAGTGTTACAGGCATTCTCACTAGGCTAAGAAATCTGGGAATCTCGGCGAATGACCTCTGTCGTTCTTTGACGCGACTTTGGGACACCATTGCACCTGCTCCTTAAGTGTGATGCCGTATCGAGGCAACGCGAAATAGCACAGCCTTAATGTGGCCAGAGAGAGAGCACATACAGAGCTATTGTGGGCTGTATGAAGTCAATAGGATAACAAGAAATATTGTGACGAGTGGAGGGCAATATAGACCCACTAGGTCGAGATGCATACCTCTTAAACTATCTATCCTTATTAAATTATCTATCTTAAGCAAAAGACAAAGCTGAGATTTAAATAGATTTTTGGTCCCGGAACTGAACTTCGCTAAAAAGATTTTTTTTCTGACATACACTAATGAGTTATCAACACATACATACCTGATCTGCAGAAACGATCTTCACGATCTCTATCGCGATCTTTGTCCCGGTAATCTTTTTCTCTATGTTGATCACGTGCCAGAGTTCTACAAAATAATAAAATGCCATATCTTTCATTTGATCAACATTCTACTTTCAAAATTTCCCAAGAAAACATACCGTTCTCGCTCAATCCATTCCTTTGGTTTTTCCCACTGTGAAACTTCAGTTTTGCAATTGTAATAATACATCTTTCCTAGAGCGCATGAAATAAATCAAAAAGTAATAAACATCAGTCGCATACGCACTTATAGAAAACTACCCGATAGACTTACCCGATGAACTGACATGCTCACTCCAATCGCCACAACGTGCTACACGTTCGCCGCGATCACTACGCTCACCGCCGCCACCACTTCCCCCACCACCACCGCCGCGATCGCGTTCACGATCGCCGCCGCTACTACCTCCACCGCGATCACTGCGATCTCTATCACGATCCCTATCGCGATCGCGTTCTCTATCACGATCACGTTCAGAACCACGATCACGTTTGCTGTCTCTTAAATCACCACGATCACGATCACGATCTCGTTCACGATCTGTCGAACCAGACCGTTTGTCACCACCACTGGAAGAACAAAGCTTTGCTCCGCCGCTTCCACCTCCACGTCGATCCAGCCTATCATGATTGGTGCGATGTGATTCAGAATCACGATCGTTGCCACCACCACTGCCACCGCCTCGTCTATCGCGTTTATCTAAACAAGGAAATAAATGTAAGCGAATAAAATATTTACTATATATAGTACATATATACTGTTGAAAACTACCTATGTCAGCATCTCAGAAAATGGTTCAAACACACTCACCACTCACCTCACCTGCCGATATATTCAATTTATATTGAGATAGGGTGTTTTCGAATCGACAGCTGACGTAGGGCGTTTTTGAACCAAATTCTGAAATAGGGCGTGCTTCGACCATGGCTGAGATAGCGCCTTTTCGAATTGGAAGGGCGATATTCTACTCAGTCGGCGATATAACAGCGCAACAACAATAATACACACATCACATACAAATATCTATAATTTACATGCAAAGCTATTGACAGAATCAAAATTTCTCTCTACTGAATAATGGATTTTAATCAGCCTTATCGTGAGTTTCATTTTCCCCGAACCGGTTCACTTTTCACTTTTGGTTTCCATGTATTTACTATGGGCGGATGTCAAATTTTCGGGTGAATTTTTTCCGGGTGAAACTCTGTATAAGGCAGTATATGAAAATTTGGGCAATTTATTATTTTACTTGAAACGATTTACAACATATTTGATAGTCTAAAAGCTGCTGAGAAATGAATGCTTCCAAATAGCTATCAAAATGTCCTTACATTGTAGCAAAAGCAAATGTTTATTAGTCTATGTGTAATAATAGAGAAAAAAATATGATGCACTTCTTACAGCCACCACAAACTGCCCCATCATAGTTAGTATCAACCATAACTTTGCACATCCGTAAAACGTACATTCATCAACACGGAAAAGGACAACTGGATGGTGCGCCCTGGGTCCTAACCCCCTAACGTGCGTGATCGCATCCGACAGACTCAGGTAAAATGGGATGAGCATCCTTAAATCTGTAATCTCTGCAGTGGGGTCAGAAAGGTATAGACAACGTTAAAATACTTCTCCAACTCGACCACACGGAAGGACTACGTACATATGTAACTATTAGCTTTGGCAACACGTCGTCATCGGGTCCATGGAAGTAAGCGCGCTTATTCACCAGGCAGTTTATTGTGCATACAGAAAGGAAGAGCGTCGCACCGTGTTAAAGGCTGCTAATAACAGCGCAAAATGTTCTAAAGCACGAAATCTTGAAGCAGATGCTGAAGAAACTAGGTCGCTCGAAAGGCGAGCGCCTCACCGCAGCGTACAGCGCTTCACTGTCCTCGCTGATAATGCCAGAAATTTGAATAGTACTCCTGTTCCCAGTGGCAAAGATCGTGCCCATCGCAGACCACCCACACGAATTTCGTAAGCACTGATTACTCAATTTTACCAAACATGCTGGTTGATTTTAACATAATCATTCCAGGTAAACGGTACCAAAACTACATTTAGTTGCCACTTACAAAGTATTCTAACCTAATATTTTTATATGCCCTTAAGATTCGTATGTCGTGTGCAAGTCTCTATACATATTTCTTTTAGCCACTCACCTGTTGAATATTTCTCCTTTTTATACACATCGCGATCTCGATCCCTCATTTTTTGCATATAACTGAAACGATCACTACCGCGATGATCACGATCGCGTATATCGTGCGAACCGTGTCCCCTTGACGATGGCGAATCTATTTCAGGCGATTGTGAACGATACGAAGCGCTGTTACCATTATTCATAGTAGTTTGCGATAATCTTTGCGAAACTGAAAACGAGAAAATTTCAAAATCAAGTTATTACGAAATTCTTTTGTACTCTTAAATGGCATAAATGATATATGTAACTGTGCTCACCATTGTTCAATGGACCACCACCAGATGGTGACAGATCGCGATCGCGATAGTTGGATGACCGATCGCGTTCATAATCACGCTTTGAATTGTACTTGGAACTCTGTAAGGCACAAATATATAAATAAAACCAATATAAAACAAATTGCGTGAAAATCTGAAAGCACGAAATGAGGTGCTGATATACTATCAAATGCAGGGAAAAACAAAATACACAAAACACCAAGAAAATTAGTTGCCACATTTGGGGGAATGGCCAATGAATGTGAAATGTAAATAGCCAATAGAGATAAATAATTTAGAATTTGCGTTACATATAAAAAAAGTTTCGTTTTTCGTTTAGTACATTTTTTTGCATCTTTTTGTTTTTTTTATAATTTTTGAATTTTTAGCGATGATTCATGATAACAGTTGGCCAACATTAAACTGGGAATAAAAAGTATGAATCTGCAGCAGTGTGAGATACACTTAGCGGCAGGACATGCGGCGAGTGGGTTTTAATTTAAAGGTTATTCCGTTTCGTAACACCTTTCGCAGTCAGTGTCGTGCCGCCAAGTGTTCATACGAGCTTTGCATTTTTGTTTTTTTTTTTTAGTAGTTAGCTTGTGTAAGAAAAAAAGAGTTGTGTTCAAGTTATCTACAGTAGTTGTGTTGGTGCCATGTGACGCTACTGTGCATACGTTTTTCATATGGACAAGCGCATGCGCAGCGTACGCCCACGACCGGCGCGCTTCTACTTACATCATCTATGCGACACAGACCGACAGCAGCACTTTTGTTACAGCCGGGTGCCAATGGTAAGTCTATTGCGATACTATTTGTGGTAGTCATAAACAGTGGAATCGCGCGAGTGTACTAAATAGAACGCTTCACGAATCGCAGGAAGCGTCTCGCTGAGCAGACACTAAGTTGATAGTGTTTTGTGCACGCACTCACACTCGTGTTTTTTTTTTTAATTTTTCTAAGCGTTGATGCAACAATGCAGATGCGTTGGAATTTCTTTCTAAGTACAATTTTTTTCAAGCTTTTGTAGGTGCACTTTGAAATGATGTTAACGATTTGTGTTTAAGTATTGGTGTAGTATTATTTAAATCATGTTTTTTTTTTAATTTTCTTATTTTCTTATTATTATTTTTTTTCTTTTGTTAATGTTTTACTTGACTAACGCGAAGCGAAATGAGTTGCCTTGAGTAGATGGAACACACAATGTGAGAGGTTATTTGTCGGTTTGTTATGTTGTAGGATTTGTAGATGTTACTAACTTACAATTGCTTGCATTGCTTGTTTTAGACATTTTTTTTGGCGTTTTCGACGCGAAAACTTTCAGCTATTTTTTCATTAGTTTTTAACTTAGTTATGTTATCCTCGGTTATGGGTTGTAAGTGCTTGGTATGTTTTGTTAGTGACTACAACGAAGGAGAGCTTTCAAAATTGTATGCTGAGATGGTTCGCTGGTTGGTTGATGTAGTTAACGAGAAGACCGATGCAGTTTGCACATGTTTGCAGTTGGAGAAGAAATTATTAAAAACAAATTGTTGAAAAATGCGCACATACAATGAATAACGAAACACAAGCAGGTCATAGAGAAATGTGAAGGTTTTTGTTTTTATTATTTAAATATCAAGCAAACAGAAAGTTGGCTATAAAACTTAATCATTATAATTTTAGCAAAGGAAGAGTTTGCTTTTAGCAAGAAATACTAGTTTTGAAAAGACATTATTAGAATTAGAAAAAAATCAAAATTAAAGTTATGCATGTATACAAAAAATAAGTTTATTTGACATACATACTTATGTACATATACAGTCAGCAGCAAAAATATGCTTAACCTTACGTTTTGACGATTTTATTTATTTATATTTTCCATTATATTATATGTTCATTCAACAGCAAAATCCACTAGAATTATTTTTTTTAATTTCATACAGAACTCGGGGAAAATGCTAAATATTTATTATCAAGAAATATTGCATCGAAATTTTCAATTTTTCAATTCGATTTTTTTGCAATATGCAGTATGCAGTTTTATAGCCCATTAAAGGTTAGTATAATAAAGTGCGAGTTTGAAGTCGCCAAAAGTTTTCGAGAATTTTTTGCCGAGGGTATTGCGCATTTTCTTCCATATAACGCACGAACAAAATCATTTTTATATGAAAGAAGGTACGCAATAAATTCTTAAAATTCAACGGTAATTTTTAGCGAAGTGAAACTTGCACTTTAATATACTAACTTTATTTTCGAGAACACTGCTGTACATCATTTAAAGGGTATGTTAATCCTCTTTTCAAAAACACTTTCATTTTTAACAATCGGATGAAAAATAGTCGAGCCATTAATAATACGGTGTTACACTGATCATGAACTTTTTAAGGGACCTAGTACAGGTCGTAGGGCTGGTCGAGAAATTCAAGAAACTGCGTTTAAAATTTTTGTAACACCCTCAAATTTTCGGCTTATTCAAATTCTCGACTTATTATTGGTTTTTACATGACTTCCCGCACTAAACAATTTTTAGCTCGACTATTTTTAAGTTTCAATATGGCTATTTTTAAGTTTTATATGGCTTTGGAAAGACGAATATTTGGACTATTTAATAAAATAATAGGATTTGTGAGCATATTGTAAATAAGTGGAAACTAGTTTTTATTATTTGTTCCACTTTGAACTAAAGATTTTTCCATAATTACTTCCATGATATTTCGCATAAAATTTTAATCAATTGGATTTTTATAACTTTTTTATTGATTTCAATGAATGGCACCTAGTTTTACTTGGAATTAAATATTATTTTCGAAGTAATGACTAAAATAGACTATTTGCTTTCGAAATTTTGGCAAAAAATGTTGTTGAAGTGGAAAAAATAATAAAAATTGGTATAAATTTCAGATTTATTCCAAAAAATTTCGCCATATTTACAATGTGCTCACAAAACTTAGTACTATTTTTAAATGTACAAAGATTTTTCTTTCCGAAACTCTATATAAAGTTAAAATTGGTTAAAAAATAACCGAGATAGAAATCTTTTAGTGCCTAAAATCATGCAAAAATGGTTTTGTAAGAAAAAGTTGAGAATGTGAGTGTTAGAAAATTTTTGAAAACAGTTGCGTGAATTATTCAGCCAGTTCTACGACCTGTACTAGGTCGCATAAAAAGATCGTGCATTTTATTTTTTTATTTTGTAACACCGTTTAATTGATCATACCTGTCGTGAAACAGTGTTTCGACTATATGGAGGCAGGTGGAAAAAAGTCGTGGTGACACTGGGTTTAAAAAACCGGTTGGACTTAGAGAGCGAAAAGTAAATAAATACATAAATACAAAATTTCACATCATTCCTCCCTACGAACGGTACATTTCCAGAAACATACTGGAATCGGCGCGATACCGACTAATGCGTTTGCTCTGAACCCATTAAAGCAACTGTTTCTTTTTACACTGTAATCAATTCTTTAAGTGCCATGGAAAATTCAGGGCAGTGGCGAATACATACTTGGATCCACTTGTCGAATAAGGTTAAATAGACAACACCAAGAAAAAAGTAACATGATTTTTTCAAACAGCGTAATTTTCGGGGTTTCCATTTTAGCGATTTGAAAATTTTGAACGGAAAAAGCAATTTTTAAAGCATTTTCACATTATTGTAGTTTACGGCTCATTCGTAATTTATAAACAAATCAAGTAATTTTGCCACGTAAAATTTATCAACAAAGGCGAAATTCGCGAAAATTAAACCAGTTTCTAAAATTTGCTATCATAATTTTAAATTTTGTTATCAGGTTTTTTAGAAAAGTTTTGGGCATGCATTTTTATAGCCGATTCAACTTATAGCTCTTTTTGTGATAATTTTTTTTTTTCTGCGCTTCCAACAGCTGCATTTATTTGTTTCTTTCGTTATTATGTTTTTTATGGACCAATCTTAAAATAAAACTAGAAGACGTACAAAAAGAAAGCACGTACTATAATTTATATTCTTTTGAACTATTTTAAATGGGGATATGGGATATTTTTTTAGCAAAAATTTGAAAGAAATGGTTATAGGAAGAGTCGATGCTGACATAATTAAAAATCTGTGTGTCAAAGATTCGGTGGAAAAACTCGATGCAGCGCTAGTTTCTTCCTTCTGTTCATCTTCATCAGTAAAAATAACTTAAAAATATAAGAAAACGAATAAGGAAAAGTGCGCTTGATACTGAAATGCTTTCGTCGGAGCTGAGTACCGAGATTTACTGAATTAAAACGCACACCGCCTTCAAAAGAGTCACAACTCAAAATTTATAATTTTTGGCGATTAACGCGCTAAAAATGTACGCAGAGCTTTTATTTACCTTTCAGTAAAAGCTGGAGCAAATGTTTGTTATAATTAAAAAAAAAAAAAATCTAAGGTAAAGTCGCTCTTGTCCTTAAGATTATCATGTGCTAAGAAATAGTTGTTCGCATTTTCCGACAAACGTATTATTTTGAGTTGCGACTCTTTTGCAGACGGTGTGAAGAAATGTCCTCAAATTTCAGTGCCCTCATCTTTAGATCTTCGACGAGAACGTATGGGTTTTAGCACACTTTACCGCATTCTTTTTTTATATTTTTAAGTTACTTCTTTAATTAAATTGAGAAAGCATCGACATTTTGGAAACTGAAAATTCTACACAATTTGCAATTGTAAATGAGAGCCTATCTGAAAAAAAGGAGGGCATATCCGAACTCGCCGATCTACATAAATATGCCATAGATATATGAATGCCGTTTTTCGAATTTTTTTTAAGCTTGTTTTCTGCGGACCTATGGTATTCTATGGATAAATATGTCACGAAAATGAACCTAAGATAAATGTAGTTAGCCTTTTTTCTCATATAAATGCCTAATTATGATTAAGTTTCGTGTTTTCTTTTATTACGTAACAGAAAAACACCCCAAATAATTTTGACCGGTTTTACTATGCAAATAATTACTCCTTTATGCGTTGGCGAAAAGATTTACATGATTTCTTATACATTATAAACAGCGCCGGCAAAAATATGCAAAAATATATGGAAAATAAGCGCTAGAAAAAGCTCGATAAATTACCAAACTAAATTTCAAGTAAGCGTAAGTCGAATATATGCAAAACACATTAAAGATAAAAATAAGACCTTTTACAGCTGCGTGCCTTTGAAAATATTGAAAATATAACAAATATTGGCTGCATATGTAGGTCTTTGCGTGAATGGCTTCAAAATTTCAAAATTTGTTTGATGAAACACCGACAGACTAAAACATAACAAGTTCGTTGAAAATGCTAAATACCTAAAATGATTTTTGTCTAAAATACGGCCATGAATTTATATGTAAGGACTTTCAAGTATTTGAGCAGTAGGGTTAACGAATTTTTAAATATTTACTCCAAAATGATAGTTTCAATGTACCTTAAGCGAAAATTAGTTTTTCGTAAAATTTTTTGGAAAGTAGGCGTGGCCCGCCCACTTATGTCAAATATTTGTATCTCGAAAACAACTTCACCAATCATTTTACCAAATTTTATATATACATTGCACCTGACCTTAAACTTCTGAAATCGGGCAAAAACTACGCCCTCTAAAAGTATCCCTAACTTTGAGTTTTAAAAAATTATTGTTGTTTACTTATAACTCTTTAAGCATTTGAGAAAAATAGATCACACAAGAATGTTATGTTTCCTAAATGGATTTCAAATAATTTGATGTATAATTTATTTTTGTGCATTCAATTTAAAAATTTACGTTTTTTTAGCGTTGAATCGCATGGTTCAGGAGATTTGCACATATGCAAAATAAGCTTTTTCAAGCATTTGCTTAGGTTTGCCAGCCTTGATTATAAATAATCTCGTGAAAACTTAAAAAAGATATTAGATTGCAGATTAAAATGAACAAAACTTGTTTTCAAATTTCTCGTTAGAGGTAATTTATTTTAACCTAAATTTAACTTTTCGCAGCTCTGCAGCCACCCCTGTATCCGCCACTGATTCAGGGTGAGGTGTTTATCATTTATTTGGTATTTTCCTATTTTTTTTAAACTGACTTGGAAATGTATCTGCTAAAGATTATTAGTAGAAAAAGTGTAAGCACCGATGCGTCAGGTCTTGAAATTAGACACATATTGTAAAGAATTTCATGGAGCTTCCGAGCATAAAATTGGATCTTTTCGCGCGGCGTTGGAAATACATATATGTAGTTTTCCATTTTCTTAATATTTCGATTTTCAGTTTTTGCGTAATTTCGCGAAACAAGTTTTCGAACAATGTAAACATCACACCAAACATTGAGAGAAAATATAATCTACACATACATAATTTTTAAGTATAAATTTTGCTTTTCTGAGAGTGGAAAGCAGAAAACAAAAATTAAAAATTAATTAAAATTAAAATTAAATTAAATTAATTAATTCCATCACATTTAATGAGTGGCCCCATACTTTTAAGAGTTGTAGACGTTATAGTGAT